GTCACCTCAGGACATCAATGGCAATGACAAGCTGTACCTTCTCAGACGTGTGCAGCAGGTAAGGGCTCCACACACCTGATGTGGAAGGTTTTGTCTGGGTGGCAGGTACAGAAGAGAAGAGACAGACCACTGGGTGTGGATTCCACTCAGGAAACGTGCCTGGCGGTGGAGGGCAGGGGCAGAGGCAGAGAGTGGCCAGGGGTGCCCACGGCCTGGCCCGCAGACTCACCGGGGCTGGGGAACTCTCCGCCACACATGCTGTGTGACTTCTGGAAAATGACCTACCCTCTCTGAATGTCGCTTCCCTCAGCTGTAAAATGAAGACTTGGGACCTCTTCCCTCTAAGTGATGAGGATTGTGATTGCCACACTCACTAAGCTACTGAACAGACAACATCGGCCTCAGTCACAGTAAGTGCTCACCACACAGGCTCAGTACGTCGGGGGGAAAGGCTTTGCTCATATTAAGAAAAACGAGTTTCCCCACCTCCCACCATATGCTAATGGGAAAAGTAAAAGGCCAAGATAGTTCATGACCATGAATCAACCACCAATCAAATATTCATGGCTAAACTCATAAAAGCGTTTGCATGAATAAGTTAACAGACAGAATTAAATGCTGACCCAAACTGTTGGGAGTGGTCGTGTCTGACTTATGAGTACAATTACAGAAGGCCGAGTGAGAAACAACTTAAAGTGACAAAAGAATCGCCAAGCGGCCGCATGCGTGGACACGCAGCTCACAGACAACCCACAAGAGGGCCCACACCGACGAGTGTGAGGTGGAGCAGCAGGAAGGGCGTCAGCTCACCAATACTGTCAAGAGCGCGGGGCGCACACCCTAATGGAGGGGGCGTGGGAGCCCTGGCCTGCTCTGCAGGGCCGGGGGCAGGCGCAGTCTTGCTGCAGGAAGCCAGTAGGGTCCGTTGAAATGCATCAAGGATGTCAAAGAAGGAGCTGTTGCGTCCCAGAGGAAACAGTAGCCAGCAGTGGAAACGCCCTCACTGCCTGCGCGTGGGGCTGACGGAACAGGTCACAGGACCTGCGCGAGCTGAGCAGCCGCCGGGAAGCAGCACGGCACCGACGCGGGGCGCACTCACTGTGAGTCATGCGGCGAATAGAGCACGTCAAGAGGATGATGTCATCTTTTCAAAAGAAATGTCTAAGAGTCAGTGAAATGAGTGGTGGAGGAAATATGACCCCCAAAAAGGAGAGGATGGGAATGTGAATGTGTAAGTACAGGAAAGACATCCGATGAACACAGTGTATCGCAGAGCAGCACACAGGATACACAGAACTCACTGGACACGCCCGGGCATACGTACTCCCATGAAATAAGGTGTCTTTCAGGAAACAATTTCCACACTGTGCCATCTGACTGAGTGTTTGTATTCGAAAGCTAAAGCAGCACATGCATTTTCAATCAACTTAAATATTTACATTTTTATGTGGTAAGAACATGGCTACTTTAAATTTTTTCTTCAAAATATTCTGGATTTTTTCCACAATGAGTATTTGGCATCTTGTAATCAATAAACATTTTGTAAACGCTGTGTACTTATTCCGAAAATGAAGCCAATTTTATGAAATAGAAACTTAATCATTCTGTGTTCACTGAGTTGCAGAATTTGAGAGTTGAAACGAACCTTAAAATTGATGTGATTAAATCTGTCTCATTTGTAAATGTTCAGGAGAGGCTGTGAGACGAGTTCGACTTGGGGAACAAAGCCTGGTGCTCACTGCACGTAGCACTGGCTGGGCCCTCGGTCACCGCCCTCTCTGAACAACATCCTGGTCAGATAAAGAGCTTCCCTGACAAGAAAAAGCTAAAGGAGTTCATCACCCCCAAGCCAGTGTTACATGAAATGCTGAAGGGTATTCTCTAAGAAGAGGAAGAAGATAAAATTTTAAAGATAAAAAATTATGAACAAAGTGACAACAAATATATATCAACAGGTGAATCTAAAAATCAAATGAATAAAAAATCGGATGAACAGAACAAACTGGTGAATGTAATAGAATCAGGGGCATGGAAGGGGAGCGGACCACATCTATAATAATCTCAACAATAAAGATTTTAAAAACACATCCTCAGGGCTCTTGGTCGGTGAGGGAGACAGACCCTGACAAAGCCTGTCCGTGAGCCAAGGACAGCAGCAGGACTGACCCAGCGGAGCCTGGAGGGCGCCGGGCCAGGAGTCCAGCACAGCTGGCTGCTTAAGGGGGGGGTGTGGCTTGAAGAAGTGAGCAGGGCAGGGCTGCTAGGAGGGTCCCAGGCGCCTGTCCTCAGGGAAGAGGGAGTGGGGAGGGAATGGGGCTCGGGTGGGAGGACCACAGCCCGCTGGGGTGCCTGCTGCCCTGACCCAGGACCAGAGCCGCCTGCCACCACCTGGCGCACTCTGGCAGCTCTGGTCTGGGCGGCTGCCAGGGCTCATGCCTCTCACCTCCCCGACCCCCCACAGCCCCTAACAGGAGCTGCTGCTTCCGACCTGCCCAGCATCTGTCTGCCCGAGTCCATCTCAGTTCCATTTTCATCTGGGCAGACTGCTTTCTGCAAAGCGCCCGCCGGCAGCTCTCTGGGGCTTTCGCTAACATGGGAAACAGGCCTTCCCTGGCCTGTACCACCAGCAGCAGCCACGCTCCCCACCCCCAACCCCCACCTGCTTGCAGGGAAGGCAGTGCCCCACATTCGAGGAAATCTGGACAAAAGGAAAGACAGCCCTGGGGGTTAGCAGCACGGCTCAGCCCAGGAGACACAGAGAACTTGAAACAGCTCGTTCAGGAGGCAGAGGATGATGCCTCGCCCCGCAGGGTGGGCTGTGCAAACACAATCCTTAAAAAGCCAACGAGAGAGGCTGCAGGCCCTCCGCTAACCACTGTAGACACTGCTCTCCGTCGGCACAAGCAGCAGCAATGAGGAAGGAAGCACCGGGGATGAAATTGTGGAGAAAACAGGTTACGGTGGTAGGTGGAGTGTTCCTGACAAACCATAGAGCTGAGAATGTCAACGCAGTCTCAGACCTCGTGTGGGAGAGGTGAGGCTTCTGAAAAACCACGGAGAAGCCTTAGGGGGGAAACCATGTTTCCCAGCTGCTCCCTGCACTCGAGGATCTGGGGTCCTTCCCACACGCTGAGCGAGGAGACGCTCACAGCGCCTCTCAGTGACCCCGGCCCCGCACACAGGAAAGCGATGCTTCTCTAACAGACGTGGACGCCGGAGTCCTCAGAATCCAGCGAGCGGGAGCTGGGCCTAAGCGCCTGCCCTCCTATGAGCACCAGGTCGTCTGTGACGGCCATGCCCACGGGGGCGCGGTCACCGCGTGGCTCCCACTGCAGGGCTGGGATGCGCGGGGAGGCTGAGCACCTTTCCTGCCCCTGGTGGCCACCTCTACGTCTTCTTTTGAGAAATGTCTGTTCAGGTCCTTTGCCAATTTTTAATCAGGTTATTGGAGAGGTTGCCATTTCACTTGGTCATTTCCTTTGCTGTGCACCAGCTTTGGGCGGGAGGGGGCGTAGAGAAAAGCGGACGCTGTGCACTGTTGCGGGATGTGAATGGGTGCGGCCGCTGTGGAAGGCACTGTGGAAGTTCTTGAAAATATTAAAAAGAGAACGGCCGCCCGGCCGGAGTGACTCAGGGCCAGAGCGTCGGCCTATGAACCAGGAAGTCACATTGATTCCCAGTCAGGGCACAGGCCCAGGTTCTGGGCTGGATCCCCAGTGGGAGGCATGGAGGAGGCAGCCGATCCATGATTCTCTCTCATCACTGATGTTTCCATCTCTCTCTTCCTCCCCCTTCCCCTCTGAAATCAATACAAACATATTTTAAAAAAGAGAACTGCCATGTGACCCATTGGGCCCGTTCCTGGGTGTTTATCCGAAAGAATCCAAGTCAGGATCTGACAGAGAGGCCTGCACGCATGTCCCTGCCCTGAGCCGTGGGAACCACCCACGTGTCCACCGAGGGCGACGGACACAGAGTGTGCCCTGTTGGTACCACGGCCATCGCTCGGGGGTGACCCTTGTGACGCGTGGATGGCCGCCGGGCACTGTATAAGCCGGACACAGAGACCAACGCTGCCTGGGGCCCCCTCGCAGAGCCACCTAAACTACCTCAACTCGCAGTCCTGAGCGGGGAAGGGTGACTGCGGGGCAGGGAGGGGAAAGCCCTGAGCTCCCTGCTGGGAACCTCTCCTTCCCGTCCAGCCACACCTGGCCCTGCCTTCAGTCTCTCTCTGTGCAACTTCAAAGCCAGGGCTTTGCTGGGGACGGGCACTTCCCTCCGGGAAGCCCACGCAGACGCTCTGTACTCACAGTGGGAGCCGGGAGCGGGCGCTGGAGGCCTCGGGCTCTGCGCCTCCAACGCCGTCCCTGGAGCCACGTCAGACTGCTCGCTGGGATCTCGCAGGAGCATCAGAAACACCTATTTGAGAATGAAAAGAGCTCCGTGTTAGATAAGCTCCTTGCACACCACACTGTTTATTGGCCTTAGTTACCCAACTGGGTCCTAACGAAGATACTCCCGTCTTCGTTCCTTTCGTTGGTGTGACCCCAAGGCCACAGCTCGGGGCAGGCTGGCTGAGAGGCGGCTCACAGGCGCGAAGGGAGTGGCCTGACCGAGACCCTTACACTTGGCAGACTGGGCAGACCAGCAGGCGCAGGCGGCAAAGCCATGCCCACAGCATCCCACCCCGTCCCAGTGCCGACCCACGGTGCCTGCAGCTGGGAGGCCCCTGACGCTCTCAGCTTCCTCCGCGGGGACTGGGTGTCTGTGTGGACATCCCTGAGGCGGTCCCTGTGAGGGAAGGGCCTGAGGTCCCTGCCCTGTGCTGGGAGCACAAGCCCCACCTCCGTCTGGTTGAATCCAAGCCCCAGTGGTTATGTGAACGTAAACCACAACATCAGGCCTTGTTGCCCCTGGATCCGATCTTTGTCATTCGGGACCGAAGCTCCACCCCGTGTGCAGGTGGGGGGTCTGAGCTCACGCTCCCCATCTGGCACCAGGTCCTTCCTGAGACACAGGGGCCCGCTGAGCAGAGCGGGTGGGCAAGCAGAGACGCCCACCTCACAGCCGCCAGCTTGTGATCCTAAACCCTCCGGAACCATGGAGGACACACCCGTGCTGGTCACGGGAGCTGTGTTGTAGGGGCGGGCGCGTGGGCCATGTCTGCACCTTCCGCGCAATATCGCTGTGAACCCAAAACTGCTCCAAAAATGGGTCTATTAACAAATCCACCACTGAAACCGGTCCGACTGCATTGTGTCAGCAGACCCCGTGGCTTCGGGGGCTGTGCGGGCGCCACCCTGTGCCATGGAGCCCTCAGCACCCTGGCCCCGCCCCCCACCCAGCAAACACAGGTCCTCGCAGGAGGAGAAAGAACGTGTCCATTTTGTAATGAAACTGGTGACGGTCAGGTTTCACACTTAGCCTCGCTGGCTGGGGGTCTACGTGGGGACCATGCTCACGAGCAACGCCCTGCGGTTTAGAGAGAGACCTGCTCCCCAGCGCAGAGTCGGGTGTGAGTGTGACCCCCTCCCCGCAGCGTCCTGGGCAGGACCGCCAATTAGCAGCAAGCAGGCACGTGTGATCGCGTGGTCGATAGCAGGCAGGAGACAGGAAAGTCAATACTGGGAGAGTGTGAGAAGCTGAGATTGGCTGGGCGGCTGCTTTATAGACTACACCACACAAAAGAAAGCTCTCCGAGTGCTTAATCTTTTTCCGATTTAAGATCTTTCCCAAACTGGTCCAGATGTGCCATGATGTTGTATTCTGTTAAATGCGGCTTGTACCCTTTGCTTATGGCTGTCCTTCACACAGATAACTTCTTTTTTAGCATCTGTGTGTGGGAGAGACAGAATCTGATCAACTGGTATTGATTAGCACGTCTTATGTGCAAGGCAGGAGCTCAGCGTAGCGGTGGCAGTCACTGCGGGGCGGGAGCAGCAGGGAGCCTCCCGGGGAACCGCGCGGGCTCTGGGGCTGGCTGTCGGGCTTCTTGGTGACTAACTGCAGGCGTGAGCGGGCCTGGGGAGCATGTGCAGAGGCGAGCTGCGGGAAGAACTGCGCTTTAGGGCGGGAGCATGGCGCCCCTCCACTGTGTGTGACTCCGACCCCACGCATTTGTCAGAACTGAGGGGAGTGGATCTGGCCATGTGCAACTTCATAAATAACCAAACATTTTAAAAACAGCAGCAAAGAGAAAGAAGATTAAGACATTTCCAAAAGGAACATGGATGGGCAAAGTATGAATCAAAATATTTTGGAGCCCAGCTGGCGTAGGAACGATTTCCCATCAGGGCACATGCTCAGGTTGTGGGCTCGATCCCCAGTGAGGGGCATGCAGGAGGCAGTCGATCCATGATTCTCTCTCATTATTGATGTTTCTATCTCTCTCCTTCTCCCTTCCTCTCTGAAATCAATAAAAATGTTTAAATTTTTTTTAATATTTTGGAGAAAATGAGTAGTAAGCAGAAAAGAAATATTGAAGGAACACAGCATCACGAGGGTTTTCAGAAGCGACGCTGAGACAAAAACACCTCCCACATGGAGCGCCCGCGCAGGCTCTAACACAGAACGCTGGTGGCAGACACCCAGGGCCCGCGTGCCGGGTGTGACGGCAGGAAGGGGGACACTGAGAAGCCCTCACTGGGCGACACCCCTCTGTGGAGCCTGTGCTCAGCGCTGCTGCCACGTTATCTGAGGCGCAAACACTGCGTGAACGCCGGGGCTCCGGCACCCTAAGCGCTGCGGGACTTTAGCTCTCGTGGTTCCTCAAGCTCCTGACACGGCTTGAGTCCAGGAGCCACCACCACCACCCACCGTGTCTGTGCTGCGTCCGGGCAATGCAGGGACGGGCAAGCCTCCCACCGCCTGCTCTCATCTCAGCACTGACTGCTGCTTTCATCCCTCAAGGCCTTCTGTAGGTTTGAGCAACGTAAAATGAGACTGGAATCGGGTCCCACAGGCAGCCCAGCCCCACACCAGCTGGCCTGCAGTCGGGGACGGCCCGGAGGGGACCTGGTTTGACCCGCCAGCTGTGAGCCACACACGCCGACGGCAGTCCCGGCAGAGGCCGGTGGGGCTGGGGCCGGCCGGGTCAGCCATGTGCACCTGCTGGCGCTTGGTTTCTGCTCGGCTTCTCTGCCCAGCAAGGGCCGCGGGGCACCCGGGCTCCTGAGCCAAACAAGGCCGGCAGTGAAAGGGAAGGTGCCTCCGTGAGGGAACCCCCGCCAGCGCCGGCCCCGACCACATGGGACACGGATGGCCCTGGATTCGCCGCCCGCGCTCTCACTATGAAAGTGCTCGCTTCCCTGCAAGAGCAGAAGCCACGGTTGGTGTGTGCAGTTCCAAACTGGCCTACGCCCGCCTGACGGTGGGAAGTTGGAATAAACACGCACACAGATGTCCGACACCCTCCCCACGGCGCCCACCCTCATCACTGACGAGCGACAAGGACAGGGACAGGCGACGGGAGCCCCAGTACCTCCTCCAGGGTGGTGTCTGCGACCCCGCAGCCCGCCAGGCGCAGGCGGTGCTGGTTCTGCTCCAGCGCCTGGAAGAGCCCCTTGAAGCCGGCTCGGTCGGCGTCCCTGGGGAGGGCGTAGCTCAGCGTGTGCCCGCTGCAGTCCCTGAGAAATGCTTGTGGGACGTAGGTCTGTATCAGGGCCGTGGTGCGAGCCGCGTCCTGCAGGCTGTCCAGCTCCGGAGCGGAAGGCTGTCCAATAGAGGAAGGCGCAGGGGGCGTGAGGGCAGCGCCCCGAGCACACAGCCGCTGAGGTCAGCGCCCGGCCCGGGAGGCAGCCCCGGTCACCTGCTTCGTGAGTGTCAGGCAGAGGCCCTGGCCGTAGGCCTCGGTCAGGCCGAGGGGGGGGCCGCAGCAGCGGAGGCGGCCCTGCTGCAGGACGGCCACGCAGTCGCTCAGCGCCTCCGCCTCGTCCAGGTGGTGGGTGGTGAGGATGATCGTCCGACCTGCGGCCAAGAAGGCGGCGTCAGAGCCGGCCTGGCACAGGCAGCGGGGAGCGGGCAATGCCACGATGCCACCCTGTCTAACCAGAGAGAAGCAGCCCTGACCCTCCCCTCTGTAGGCCTCAGGGTCGGGACCCGCTCCCAGACCCTCCCCCTCAGCACTCGGGGCTGGGACGGGCCCAGCGGGAGAAGCAGGCCGAGCGCAGGGCCCTGTGTCCCCGCCGTCTCTAGCCCCGGAGCGCTGTGCGAGCAGAGGAGACGCTTTATAAGAGGAGAGGAAGCCGGGCCCCGTCTCCCCCACATCCTCGGGCAACAGGCTGGCGGGCACTGGAGGAGAAGTCTCCTCTGTGAAGCGGCAGTTGTGTAGGAAAATGGACGGTGCCCTGTGAGGCTGGAGGGGTGTCCTTCAGACCAGGGAGCAGCGCATGTGGGAGGAGGGGAGCCGGACAGAGGGTGCTCTGGGAGGCGGGCGGGGCAGCCGGTGAGCAGGCAGGGGAGGTGAGGACAGAAGGGGCGGCCAGAAGCACCAACCTGCAGATGGGGCCACTACCCAGCACCCTCTGCACACAGTCCCTGCGCTGGCATTGGGGCAGGGTGGGCTGGCATCGG